TGTCTTTGTTAAGACTTCTTAACCTTTGTTGCTTCCAAAGTGTCTGTTAAGTTTAAGAATACCGTCCCGTTTTCGAAAACGTGGTTCCATCTAGAGAATAAGAAAATAGTCATATTTAAAAAAAAAAAAAAATTTAAAAAAAAAAAAAGACAAAGAGAAATATGTAATTTATAATAAATATTTAATGAACAAGCTGTAAAAGATTACATATTGATTCAAAAACTGATGACTACATACAATACAAATTAAAGATGAATAAAACCAAGTACAAATGCAGATTATGCATTTAAATGTTATCAATCAATCGAAATGTATAAATAGCCTATATTTTGTATGAAAAACTCGACCTTCATACTAACTATTTAATAATTTCCTCTCAATTATAGTGTATTAAAGTACCTTATAATGGAAACAGTTCTGCCTACTCAAGTACAAGTATTTCATAATATAAGGTGGAGTTAACTGCATTTTAACTTCCCCACTGTCCCCCCCGGACTTTCATTGTTTACAGGTGAGGTTTGGTATTTAAATGAATGGTAAAATAAAAACAGGTGTCGCGGTTACAGTCAAGGGCAAGATTTGTTTTGCTCTTGTGTTATTTGTATATCATGCTGTTAAAGCTCGCTTAAAGACTAAATGCACTTTTAAAACACGTCGGTGGCTGCCGGTGACGGAGAAAAAAAGGACAATAAAAGAAGCTCCGCTCGCTCCCGTCCGGGGTCCCATCCGAGATTCTCTCTAGCTCGTAATTATGTTAGTCCTTAACTTAAGCTGGGTAATGTCATAAACAGGCATGTTATTTAGCCAGATATGTCAACATTAAATTGACGAAACATGTACATAATAATCCGCTACCGGTAAACATCACATACATGGAAAGGTTGCGGCGGGACATGTCCGGTTCGCTAGTCATTAGTAAAATGTCCCTGTTGTTGAGTTAAAATATATCTATACATCTAATATAATAGTTTATAAGCATTGACAACATAGTTAAAGGATGATGTACTTACTTTCGTGATGTTGGGAAAAAGTGAATCTCTAGCTCGCGGCGCCCCGCCTAGGAGACGCTGATTGGTCAATTCTTGGTTGCTGCGGGAGCAATTCTTGGTAGCAATACGGCCGCTGATTGGCCAGAGCTCTCAATTCTTGGTAGAATCTTGGTAGCAGACGTGAACGTGATTGGCTGTCGCTACCAAGAATTAGCTCAGCCTCCCGTTAATCACGTATCTACTAGCATATCTTTTGTACTGATAATCTACATCCCCAAAATGTAGCGAAGTAGAATTATAAAGTAGCATAAAATGGAAACACTCGAAGTAGTCCAAGTATCCTTAAACTATACTTGAGTATGTACTTAGTTACATTACCACTAGTAGAGATTTGGGTATCGTTGGGAGTATTGAGTATTATTATGTTTTTATGGATAACACCTTTTTTAAATAAATGAAATCAAACAAAAGGTTTACAATATATTTAATAAAGCTTTATGTCTGTGATGTGTTTCAGATCGCGCCCTGCCTTTAGCTTTCCTTCAACACGTCTTGTTCACCGCCTCACGGCCACCACCAGCAACAGCATGGAGTCCAAGCAGCCAATCAGCGAGCATCATGAAGGGATGAGCAACCCCCACGCCGTTACCTCTCAACCGCCCCCGGCAGCAGACGCATCAGCAGCCAATCAAACGGACCATATGGCCCACCTGTCCGTCATTGACAATGCGGAGACCAGTAAATACACCTGACCCACACCTGTGTATAGACACCTCCCAACACTTAATTCCCATGCACTTTATTAATTTAAGTACTGCAGCCAAATATAATACTAATGTACCTTTACTTGGCTTTTTTCATTGTATGCTACTTTAAGCTTGATTTATGCTTGCCATATTGTTCCCAATGTGAGGGGGTGACGTTCAAAAAACACATTTAAATTCAAATATACTTTTGGCAGATCTGCACTGCCAAATCAGTGATATGTTATCAATTATGACCTATTTTGTGATTAGTTTTACATCTGATTTGGTTATTTTAATGCATACGGCCTACATTTTGGCAAGCACGTGAATTGCTGAAGTTGGAAATACTTTTACATTTTATTTTGAACAAATGTCCTCTCTGGAACCTTGTGTTGCAGATAACGGCCTGGGTCATGCCATGGGGGACGCGTCTCCCACGGTGTCCTCAATGTCGCCCAAGCTCCACGCGGCGGGCGGCCATGCTAACGGCCGGCCCGGTCTGAGCAGCCGTTCGGGGTCCATGGCGGGCTCCCCCCGGCCCTCCCTCACCCGCCGGCCCAGTGGCATCACGGAGGCTGCTGTGGACGGGTCCAAGCCCCGCGACTACCTGTTCCTCGCCATTCTGTCCTGCTTCTGCCCGCTGTGGCCCATCAACATCGTAGCCCTCACCTTCTCTGTCATGGTACGACCGTAGACTTTCCTTTGTGTAATCCTACAGAGATTAATAAAGGTCAATTTTATTTTAAATTAAATAAACCCAACTGACTGTAATTAGCTGGGAAATTGGTTAGTTACAGGTTAGTTCTTCTTCTTCTTCTTCTTCTTCTTCTTCTTCTTCTTCTTCTTCTTCTTCTTCTTCTTCTTCTTCTTCTTCTTCTTCTTCTACAATTTAACGAGTTGAAGCTCAGATCTACTGAG